ATAAATATTAATATTTATTTAGTATTTTCTTTAAGTTTTAAGAATTGCAGCTAATAAATTTTATAGATTGATACTAAAATTTATAAAAATCATATTGAAATATATATACATACATACATACATACATAAACTTAAATAAAAGACTTTAAAATTAAGACTTCAGTAACAAAATACTATTTTGTATCTAAATTTTTTTTTTTTTTGCTAATATTTAATTTAATATTTTAATTTTATAAATGAACTATTGATATGAGTTTATATTTAAAAAAAATACGAAATTAAGTAAAAATATAAACTAAAAAAAATATATATATATTATATTCATTTTCTCTATATCATTAATCTCTTTAAGAGCTCACAACAGACTTCTTTACAGGGCATACGCCAGTCGGACAGTCTCACATCAAGCAATTTCACTTCGAACTGTCTACTGATTCGCCCCGAAGTGGGGCTGGAGTTGGCTCGAGCTGGAGATGAAGCTGGAGCTGGAGCTGGAGCTAGAGCTAAAGCTGAGGCTGCTGCTATTCGATTTCGTGGCAGCTTTTAAGTGTTTAACTTCCTCATCTGACGCTGAGCGTGGCAGAAGGCGCAACTTTATGCTGCCTCATAATTCACGGCCCTTTCCTGAGTCCAACTTAAGGACTCGCTTGCTGTCTCCAGTTCGAGATCGGCCTGCGTCTGCCTGGTAATCAGTTGCATTAACGTCGTGAAACTTCTTTAAGTTGGATTGGGAATTTCTTTTACTTGTTTTTACTTTCTTTTATTTTTGATAAAGTCCCTAGAAGACACAATCAAATGCTTACTTCAAATACGAAATGGAGCAGAAGTGCGCCAAGTAACCATTAGAAGAGCGCATTAAATGCTTTTTAAATGAAGTCACAAATGAGACGATAATCCGCCAAGAGACAATTAGTCTCTAATGTGTTCTTAAAAAGCTGCTGGACGCAATGAAAGATGGCTATTATGAAGGAGTTCTGCTTGAGCAGCAAAGACTTTTGGAACTAAAGGAAGCATTAATGGTCAATAGGGAATAAAATACATAACTTTGCTGATTTCTATATATGTGTATATAATATATATTTTTCCTTATTTTTATTTCATACCTAAGAAAAGATCCGATGGTTCATTAAAAAGTAAAAATAAATTTCATAACATTCCATTATATTAAATCCAAATAAAACTAAAATCCAAATTAGAATTTCAAAGATAATTATTTAGTTAAAATTTGAATTTATACGCTTATAATAATAAATTTAAAGCAATAAAATTTTGTACACTAAATTCAAAATATAGTTAATATTAGAATTATCTAACTCTCTGTTAAACTCGGGTTATATCGTGTAATATATATTTGTATTTTAAATATTTTCCTCAAAATTAATTTTCTTATCTTGAAAATCAGTTTTTAATAGATAGACAGATTCTGATAAAAATAAACCTTATATATAAACCTTATATTTAACGGCTTTTCAATAACACTTCCGAAAAACTTTTCTGCCTAAAAGTGCTATAAAATTGTTGCTTTTAGCACATATTGAAAAACAGGGAGAGAGAGAGTGAGGTAGGGAGTGAGAGTGAGAGAGAACGATGTAGTAACAACAGCCTTTAACTATCCTACAACCATATTGAATCACTTGGAAACATCTAAAAGCTTTATACACGCACTTAAAGCTCTTTACGATTCTTACGTTTGTTTATTTTCAATTTTTTTTTAGCTGAGAAAACAAACGCCTTTGGTGGACCCCAATAAACACATAAATATAACAGCTACTTGAGACCAATCGAAGTCTTCATAAAGTGTGAGTACTGTATGTAGCGACCTCTCACTTCGCTCCCCCACACACCGCCCACATCAGCTCTTCCTTTCTCTGCCTGTCATACTTACAGCTTAATAACGGCGGCTAATCTGAGAGGCATACATTCACGCACGCACACATACACACTCACGCACACACGCACACGCACGCACGCATATTGTCAGAATTCTTTGTAGAAATATTCGCACACAATGGGCGCATTATGTCGCTTGTCTGCGTCGACTTTTTAAGTAAATTATAAAATATTTAAGTATTTTAAAGGCGAATTTCATTGAAATTGAGGCAAATAGAGGTATGAGAGTGCAAAATAAATATTTAACAACTGCGCAATACTCTGCTGTGCACAGATACAGATAATAAATAAAAAATAAAAAATATAAAAAAAAAAAACAACAAATAGTAATTATAGTAATAAATACTTAAGCTATACTAT